AGGGGGAAATGGAGAGTCAGAAAGACCTGGGTTCAAATCCTAACTCTGTCAGTTAGCTGTTACTTATCTGTTATAAGGATGTGTCATTATTCATAAAATATGCATAACAATACTGACCCTGGTGGGTTGTGAGAGTAAAGATAAGGACTAGAAAGAACTTAAGCTAGTATTTATATGGTAGACAGTGGCTTATTATTATTATTATTTTTTTGAGAGATGGACTCTCTGTCACCCAGGCTGGAGTGCAGTGGCACAGTCATAGCTCACTGCAGCCTCCACAGTATGGGCTCAAGTGAGCCTCTTGCTTCAGCCTCTGCGTAGCTGGGACTACAGGTCCTCCCCATGACGTGTGCCTGTAGAAATTTTTTTTCCTTTTTTTTTTTAGAGACAGAGTCTTGCTATGTTGCCCAGGCTGGTCTTGAACTCCTGGGCTCAACTGATCCTCCCGTCTCAGCCTCGCTGTTATAGATACTGCTGCTATAAACATTCATATACATGTTTTTAAAATTGTTTTCAATTTTATTGATGAAAAATTTATATAACTGAGAATAATTTCTGATCCACATGAATCAACCAGAGGTAATATATTGAGTTAATATGATTTTTTCTAAAGCTTAGAAACTTAACATTTTAGTTATCTTTTGAATCCTTCTTGTGAGTAAAGATTTGCTTTTTTATTTATTTTATTTTAATTGACACATAATTGTACGTATTTATGGGGTACGGTGTGCTTTTTTAATACAGGTATAAACTGTGTAATGGTCAAATCAGAGTAATTAGCATATCCATCATTTCAAACATTTACCATTTCTTTGTGTCAGAACATTAAAAATCCTTGCTTCTAGCTATTTTGAAATATACATTATTGGCCAGGTGCAGTGGCTCACGCCTGTAATCCTAGCACTCTGGGAGGCTGAGGCGGGAGGATTATTTGAGCTCAGGAGTTTGAGACCAGCCTGAGTAAGAGCGAGACCTCGTCTCTACTAAAAATAGAAAGAAATTAGCTGGACAACTAAAAATCTATAGAAAAAATTAGCTGGGCATGGTGGCACATGCCTGTAATCCCAGCTACTCAGGAGGCTGAGGCAGAAGGATTGCTTGAGCCCAAGAGTTTGAGGCGGCTGTGAGCTAGGCTGACGCCATGGCACTCTAGCCCAGGCACACCAGAACTCATTCCTCCCATGTACACATTTTTGTGTGGACATATGTTTCTATTTCCTTTGGGTATATTTTTAGCAATAGAATTGCTAGGTCTGGTAACTGTGTGTTTAATTCTTTGAGGAATTGCCAGACTGTTTTCCAAAGGGGCTATACCACTTTACATTCCCACTAGCAGTATATTAGGGTTTGATTTCTCCACATACTGCCAACCCTTGTTATTATATGACTTTTTAATTCTAGCTGTCTTTGAGGGTATGAAGTGGTATCTCATTGTGGTTTTGATTTGCATCTCCCTGATGACTAAAGAGGTCAAACATCTTTTCATGTGTTTATTGGCCATTTGTGTATCTTCCTTGGAGAAATGTCTAATCAGATCCATTGCCCATTTTAAAAATTGGATTATTTGTTTTTTTTACTATGGACTTGTGAGAGTTCTTCATATATTCTGGATACAAATCTTTTGTCTGTATGTGATTTGCAAATATTTTCTCCCATTCTGTGGAACGTTTTCACTTTCTTGATTGTGTCCTTTGAAGCTTAAAAGTTTTAAATTTTGGTAATGTCTGATTTATCTATTTTTTCTTCTGTTGCTCATGCTTTTGGTGTCATATCTAAGAATCCTTTGCCAAATCCAAGGTAATGAAAGTTTACTCTTATGTTTTCTTCTAAGAGTTTTATAGTTTTAGCTTTTA